GCTCCTGTGGGAAGGAGTCATAAGGAGAGAAGTGAGGATCGGACACTGCCTTGCGTTTGGTTTGCAGTGGAAGAACTGACCCCGGAGTAAGAGAATAGGGGGGAAAGGGAAAGCTAGTCTCAAGATGGCGGCTCCCAGGGCGGCAGGCGCAGCCTGAGCAGCAGAGGCGGACTAAGAGGAGAGGTGCGAGACCTCACGAGCCGTACGGCGCGACACCTCTAGCAGCCCCCGAGAATTCGAGCTGGTTCCACCGGCCTCCGGCGCGTTTGTATTCCTTAGGAGTGTCGAGTCTGTTTCGGGAGCGGCGGTTGCACTAAGCGCTGGGCGGGGAAGCGGGACGGTCTCAAGATGGCGGCTCCCACAATTGTGGTCTGAGCGCCGGCGGGGCTGGGACGACCGCGGCGCTTGTGGCTCCTTTCCACCCGCCCCGGAAGCCGGCCAGTGCTGGGGACTTGGGGGTGTGGGAACCGGGCCGGGGCTCCGCCATTTCCGGCGGGGGAGGGCTACGACTGAGGAAGGGAGGAGAGAGAGGCGCCTCAAGATGGCGGCTCCCAGGGCCTCCCGCCCGAGCTTGTAAGCGGGAGTGCCGGGGCAAGTAGTCAGGGCAAGGGGACTCGGCGGCCTCCAGCTTCTTGAGCCTAGGCGCTGGACAGTTTCGGGAGGCTCTTGAGGAGACGGGGTGAGCAAGAAGAAGGGGAAAGAGCCGAAGGGAAGGAGGGTAGTTAAGATGGCGGCCTCCATGGAGTCGTCCACTGCTGTGTGAGGAACCGCTTCTTCGTGAGAGCTGCCTTAGACGAAAGGGGGTGTGTGTGAAAGGAATTCAGGAGCTCCCTTCCCGCCTGTTGACTTCTTCCCACCGCACTCTTTCCCGGAACTATGGCTTCGGCCGTGTCGCCCGCCAACTCGCCAGCGGTGCTCTTGCAACCCCGCTGGAAGCGAGTGGTGGGTTGGTCGGGTCCGGTACCCCGGCCCCGCCACGGCCACCGCGCTGTGGCCATCAAGGAGCTCATCGTGGTGTTTGGTGGTGGCAACGAGGGAATAGTGGACGAACTGCACGTGTACAACACGGGTGAGTGCAAAGCCCGCTGGGTCCTCACATCTTTCTCTCCATCTTCCCTCTCCCCCTCCCTCTCCCTCCTCCCTTCCCCTCTTCTCACTCCCTCCTCCTCTCTCCCTCCCATCTCCCTCCTCCTTCCTTCTCCCTTCTCTCTGCTCTCCCCTTTTCTTATCCCTCCCTCTCGTCTCTTTAGCCCTCTCCCCCATCTGCTTTTCCCTGATCTTCTCCTGGTTCTTAAACCCTTGACTCTCCTGTGTCTGAGGGTTGCTTTTCCGTAGTTGAGAAAAACCTTCTAGTCCAAGTGGTGAGGGCGAGGGGGTGTTGCCAGTGGTGGTGACTTCAGACATACACCGTTACCCGGCAGGCTGGGGCGGGAGGATGTGTTCCCTTGGCGCAGAGTCCTCCTCCTTCCTTCTGCGCCTGCTCAGCTCTTCCTCATCTCTAGTGCCCATTCTGGAGAAATGACAATTTCTAGATTATAGATTACCTCTCTGTCTCTAGAAAAAGAGAGGGACGCGCTCTTAAGGGACATCCTTTAATGTCCTAATCCGACCTGGGTTGTGCTGGAGCCTTGGGGACCTGTAGGATGGGCAGCAATCTGCCTCCCCCTTAGGCATTTACTTCTGCATTGTATCTTTTCAAATCATCTCTTTTCCTAATCTGGTGCCTTCTGGTTTGCAGGATGAATTCCATTTATCTTTCAGCAGGCTGGGTAGTCCTGTATCTCACCTATTCTGTGAGATCAAGGGGGTGATCCCCACCCGTTCTGCCTCCTCCTTGGTAGTTGGGTGGAAGGAGAAACCTCTCCCTGTCTCCAGGTATCACTGATGTGCTGGTTGGCTTCCTGCGCTTCTCCCTCTTGGGAGCTACATACCGTCGACCCTTGCCTGGTGGCCTTGCTTGGTCTCTAGGGCAGAAAGCCTGCTGCTTTCCATGGCAGCTTTGTTGTATTCTTCTCCTGTGTTAGCCATTAGGCCGTTTTGTACATCTAGCATGAGATCAGCTCCTGAATAACCTGTCGACTGGCCCTGAAGGAAGGGTCTGTGGGAGTTCTGTCCCAGACATGGTAGCTCGCTGTGTGCAGGAGAAAGCCCCTGCGCAGGACCTTGGGCTTTAGAAAGCTCCTTCTCAGTAGGGAGGCCCATTTTCTAGCACCTTCCCCCTTGCCGTCACAGTTCACAAACCCCTTTCACTCTGTGTCCGTCTGGTGACAAGCCCACAGTAGGTGGGCTTCATGTTGCCCTCAGTGGCCTGTCAGTCTGGGGGTGGGAAGTTAGTGGAGCTGCCTGGAAGGAGAAAGTTGGTTTGAGGAGTGGGAGGTTGGAGCTCCCCTCCCTACCCTGCAAGGCAGAGAGTGCCGGCCTCCCTACACGTTGTAGGTTATTGTCCCTACCAAGTTGACTTTGAAAGGCTGGTGAGCTTTTTCATTCCAGGTCTGTCAACACCTGTTGCCTCAGGGGAGCAGGGCCTTTCTCAGTCCCTCCTGGGGGTGGTTGGTGGTGCTCATTGCCAGCCTAGGCAGCTGCAGTGGCAGGAATTAGCCCAGTAAGCTGAGGCTGAAGGGAAGGCTGAAGGGATACAGCTTATCAAGTGGTAGGACTGTTTTTAGAGATGTCATCGCCATGAGCAATACCATCTCAGTTCCTTGGACTGACTTTTTAAGGCCTGGAGCAGGCTCCCTGGCAGGGAAATGCAATTTTAGAAAGTAGGGCAGGGGCCTAATTACAATCAGCTCCAAAGTCCACTGCCTTGGCTTCCTGGGGCCTCTGCATATTCATTAGTTTATTAAAATGAATTGACCACTTTGGCATTAATGAATTACCAGCCTGCAAAGACAGGTTGTGTATAAGAGGGTAGCCAGCCTTCCAAAGGGCTACTTGAGACAACATCCTGGTATCCTGCAAGGTAGCATTTTGAAGACTCATAATCAGTTCCTTGGGTGATCCAGCTCCCTACTCCTTATGTGCTTCTTATCTGTTACTTTGCCTTTGGCAGCTGCACACTGAGCTCCAGCCCCTCTCCAGCAGTGGTGGCCAGCCCAGCAGCTACCTCTGCAGCTTACCTTTGTTTTATTTTCTTTTGTTTTGTTTTAAATGAGGTCAGAGCATATTCTCCGCATACCTCTGCCTCTGTACTTTTCCATTTGTGGGATCAGTCCTTAAAAAGACTTGCCCCTTTGGAGACAGATCTGATCTGGAAGCATTCCCTGTTGCTAAGGATAAGAAAGCTTCAGGGGTGTGTGTGCTCCTCACTCTCTTGGTTAGCTCTGCATCGGGGTGAAGGGTGGGGGTAGTGTGTGCACTTGAAGTGTGTGTATGTGAATGTGAGAGAGGAAGCAAGTGCGTGTCCTTCAGCATCAGTTGCCACAGTGGCTGTGGGACACTTCATTGGTCTTTGGGAGGTCATAGGGTAGCAACTGACCTTGTCCCCAGTGAATTTTATTTCCACCTGGTAAGCCAAAGAATTCAGAGTGCTGTCAGAATTGGGGTCTTTGCCTAAGGCTGTTTTGCCTCAGTGGTTCTTTAATGTCCATGGACTGTTAGAGCTGGAAAGAACCTCGGAAAATGTCTAGTGGACTTCCTTGTTTCTGCAGATGAGGAAATTGGGGTCCAAGAGAAGTGACAGGTCCAGGGTCACCCTGCCAGCTGGTGGCGGAATTGGGCAGGAATGCAGACCTTCACAGAGACTGTTCCCGCTCTCTGTCTCTTTCTTCGGTTAACAGGCTACAGGCCACCACCTTTGAATCGCCTCCCTTTTCCTCTGTCCCTGTGTCTAATTGGTCCCAAGTCAAGCTGGTATCAAATTTGTTCCCCTCCATTCCAGGTTCTCCTAGCTTCTTACTGGGCTCTTACAGTCACTTCCTGATTGGCCCTGCTAGTTTCATTTGTTGGGAAATTCTGTTCACCCTTCAAGGTCTGGCTCAAATGTCACCTCTTCTGAGAAGCCCTTTTCCCTTCTGTCCTCCCCCCAATCACCCTTGTTCTGTGCTCCCAAGGACTGGGCTTGGTTCACAATTCTTTCGGGGTATTTGTCCCATTGTGAGAGAGAGTGCACAGCCTTCCTACCAGATGGGGAGTATGAGTACAAGAGTGATCTCTTCTGTGCCTCCCAGCACCGGGCATAGTGTCTGCCACTCAGGAAATGCTCTGATGTGACAGATCGAACAAAGAGGAAGGCAATTCCTCAAACTTGCTGCCTGGGTTTCTAGGGGGTGATGGGACAGCAGCAACTACAAATGTAGCTGGCAGCATGAAAAGGGGTGGGGGGGGCTGTGAAATGAACAGTAGCTAGGATTTCAGTCTTGCTGAGGAGGGGGAAAGTAGAGTGGTGTTTGTCCCACCCAGGGTCCTGCAGAAGGATGGCCTTCTTTCCCCAAACTCTCCCAGCTGAGAGCCAGCCTGGAGGGTGGTGACAAGCCAGAGCCTATCCAGAATGAGGGGCCCAGGCATTGGATTACATGATGCCCCCCTCCCCCTCATGATTGAGGGCAACTGAGAACAGCTGTGGATTTGAAAGACAGTGGAAAGGGAGAAGAGCTCACTTGCTGTGTGCCTTCAAGGGGCTCAGATGGCATTGGGACTCTATACTAGGAACTGCACTACCTGGCAGACTTCTCTTGATGGGGTGGAGAGGGCCTCTGCCCTACCTGGAGTATTCTAGAATGAGATCAGCACCTCTTGGGTCTCATAGAAGGATCTGGTTGGTGATTGGGAGCCCACAGGTCGCTTCTAGCCTGGCCAGCTGGGTCAGTGATAAGGGTATGATGGGAAAGCCACAGGCTGATCCCATTTGCCATTTAGCTTTGTCCCAAATCCTGACTGATGGCCCCATAGCTATATGCCTTAGCCATGGGGGTACTCAGGTGTGTGAGGGTGGCTGGGGGCTGCCTGTACATGGGACCCTTGGGCAGGCACATATCGATCACGTCAAGTCAGTGACAAGCTTTTTGTCTCTCTGTCTCTGTTTTACTCTGTAACCCCAGGTAAGTTACTTCCCCTGCTGGGGTCTGTTCTTTTATCTACTGAAAGAGGTTTTTTACTGCTTTCCCTGCATTCACCAAGGTCCACGGTAACTTGTGTGGACTCCTTCCGGGGATTGTTTGTGCAGGGTTGATCTGTCTCAGCGTCAGAAAGCTCCTGCTTCTCTTGGGTGGTTTTTGCACTAGGAGTGAGAGAGGCAGAGAGCCTGGCCCTGGGCACGTACGTGTGCACAGCAGCACCAGTGCTGTACCTCAGCTGTAGGGAAATGGCAGAGGAGCTCCTTTGCTAGGTGTGCTGGAGTCCCAGTGACTCAGCTGAACTGTTGCGGAGACCCACAGCCATTTTGGACGCACCTGGAGAGCTGAGTGCTGGTGGGCGAGAGGCGGCATTCTTCCTTCTTCCCTCGGAGGATCTGTGACTGGACAGCTGTGCTTTTGCTGAGGGCAAGCCTTGGCAGAGTCGTGTGTTGAGCCCTGGGGTGACAATGCAGGATGTGGGGCAATGTAGTAATGACAGTGGCTAGCCCCCTTTCCCCAGAAGCACCTGAATAAAGGAAAAAACGGATGTGTTTCCTTTTCTATGCTCTCACAGTGCTTTTGGTCACCAAATTCAATATGTTTTTCATTCTGTATCACAGCATCCCTGTGTGGAAAGTCAGGCCAAGAAGCAGTGAGCAACTGGCACTGGGCCATAGAAGCTTCCCAAGTTCCCTCCACATGGGGACCCCCAACCTCCCTACCCCCATCATATCCCAGGAGGAACTCTTGATTCTCCAGTCGCATGGAGAGACCCTTGCCCCTTCTCTGCCTGCCCCAACCCAGCCTCAGCTCCTTCTGCAGTCTGTTCTATCAGATCTGACCAAAACCAGTGTAGCGGCACAGAGTCAGATGTGCATCTGGCCCCTAGTCTGGGATTTTGGGAGAGAGTGTGGTGTATCCTCACCACAGGGACCCCTCAAAGGAGGAGATTTTCTATGAAGCCCTGGCACAGCAGGTATAAGGGGGGAGTGAGGACACAGGCTCCCTGCTCCCAGCTAAAGGCTGGGCCCTACTGTCTTGGGAAAGCCAGGCGGTACCTGGAGTCTCTTTCACCCTATTTTTTGGTGGTCTCCTCATCCCCACAGGCTTTTGAGAAGCTTCTGTCACAGAAGCTCTGCCCAGGCTGCCACCTCTGGCTTGCATAGGTGCAGCAGTGGTGGTGGTGGTGGGGCGCTGGCTTTACCACAGAGCCTGGGGACCATCGCCTAGGAGACGAGAGAAGGCCTGGGGAAGTCAGCAGAGATGAGGGAGGCCCTGTGAGGTCAGAGCACAGACTGGTTCTTGTCCCCATGGCTCCCCCCAGCCTGCAGCAGTCACTCTTTTGGCCATGCAGAGGTGCAGCCATGGGCTCTGGCTGTCATGCCTCTGTGGTACATGGAGAGAAACGTGAGCCACAGAGGGTATTTTGGGTATAGAAGTTTATTTCTGATGACCCCCCCAAGCAGTAGGGGAAGGAAGTCAGTGGCCAGATGCCCAGATGCTGGTGAATTATCTTGGTCAGTGACTTCCTGCTTGTTTAGATGACCTTGACAAGAAGCAGGGTGGTCACAGGCTGTGGTGGTCTGAATTCGAGAGGTTTGGAAAATGGCATGGATAGAGTGGCCAGAGCTGGTGCTGATGTGCAGAGGTCCAGGCTCATGGAGCCCCTGTAGAGACAAGGTGCTGACTTGGCCCTCTCTCTGGCCAAGTTTGAAGGCCAGTGGATTTGGGGAATAGGAGGAATGGGGGCTGTGGTTCTGGGAGCTCCAGGGTATGCTGACTTCTGTTTCCTTTTCATCCCCAGCAACCAACCAGTGGTTCATCCCAGCTGTGAGAGGGGATATCCCTCCTGGGTGTGCAGCATATGGCTTCGTGTGTGATGGGACTCGCCTGCTGGTGTTTGGTGGGATGGTGGAATATGGAAAATACAGCAATGACCTCTACGAGCTCCAGGTAACAGAGTGGAGGGCCCTCAGGAGCCACCTCTTCAACAGCCCTGGGTTCTCACACTGCTGCCTTGCCTTGCACGACCCTCTCCTAGCGTTCCTCGTGGTAATGTCCTGGGGGCTTGGGTTGAGCAAGGAGGTGGAGGGGCCACCCTGAACTTGGCTAGCCTCAGAGGAGAAGGCAGGGCCCAGACAGCTCCAGCAAGGCTCACCCCTCACCCCAGCTCGTCTCCTCCCCACAACACAAGCTGCCCCAGACCCCCAGCAGCAGCCTCGCCATCCCATGGCTCAGTCTCCAAGTCTTAACTTTGCAGGCAAGCCGCTGGGAGTGGAAGAGACTTAAAGCAAAGACACCAAAAAATGGGCCCCCTCCATGTCCTCGGCTCGGGCACAGCTTTTCCCTCGTGGGCAACAAATGCTACCTGTTTGGGGGTCTGGCCAATGATAGCGAGGACCCCAAGAACAACATTCCGAGGTGAGGCTTCGTCCTTTCTCTGTAGAATCTCAGCAGGGCGGTTGTGCTCAAGCATGTGTTGGGCCTGTGGGATCCTAAGGTCTGTGTTGACTAAACCCACCGCGGCCAAATCGCCTTCCCACACTGGGTTGTAAAATGAGAGGTTGGCACTAGATACCCTCCAAGGAGCTTTCCAAAATCTCTAACCTTGAGCAGGCCTTGTGGGAGGACAGTTGGACCAGGAGGTAGAAGCTCACTTTGCCTTGGGCTGGTCCCTGCTCCTCACACCTGGTTTAGAGCTGGTGGCTTTCCTTCTCAGCCTCGTGCTGCCTACAGGTTTCCTGATGGGTATTTTCCAAGGCCCATATCCAAGGGCCTTTCTGTTTGGAGGTAGTCCCAAGCATCCATGGAGGTCTATGGAGGCCTTCATATAATGCCCAGCTTTGTGTGTGCATGGCAGCCCAGAGGGGCTGCTACTGGGTGTGAATTTGAGACTACCACACAACCTCATACACCCCAGCCCTCTACTCCAGTTGGACTCGCCCTAGGGATCATCTGGCAGCCTTTTCTCAGGAGCAAGGGTAGAAGATGAACTTGAGAGATCACATGGCCTTAGCCCCTTTATATGCCAGGGAATTGACTATTCGCTGTTAGCCACTGAAGCCTCTGGCTCGTAGAGTTGAGGCTGGCCATAACTAGTCTTTCTTCGTCAGGTACCTGAATGACTTATACATCCTGGAATTGCGGCCAGGCTCTGGAGTGGTAGCCTGGGACATCCCTATTACTTATGGGGTCCTGCCCCCACCCCGGGAGAGTCACACTGCTGTGGTCTACACTGAAAAAGATAACAAGAAATCCAAGCTGGTGATCTACGGAGGGATGAGTGGCTGCAGGCTGGGGGACCTCTGGACCCTGGACATTGGTAAGTGCAACAGTGGACAGATGTCTGCTGGTCAGCTGATCTCACGAGTGGCCTCGTCGGGTGGTGAGGTGGGGCTTGTGGGGCAGTGGAGCATCCCACTTAGCTCTTGTCTCTTGTCATGCTCGGGTGGGGATAGGACCCTAGATTGTACCTAGGTTTGGGGCTGTTATCCTTTCCCTGCAGGGGTGGCATTGCTTTTAAGAAAGAGCGAGTCTCAGTTGCCTGAGTTGGTCTGCTAGGTTATAGGAGAATAAGGGGAGAGATTGAGGCCTTTCTAGAGTGGAATTGTCTTGATTTGGGTAGCATTAGTCCCTCTCAACTTATCAGCGGCCAGGCCGTGCGAGGACTAGTGCATCTGGTCTGACTGTTGCAATATAATTGGATGTCATTAAGCCATTAGGCCTTTTGGGGCTATGTGGGCAGGTAACCAGGCGGTTGTATCAGGAGTGGTTGGGGAAGATTGCTAACCACAGGTCTCTGGAGGGCTCTTCAACAGGAAAGGGTAGATGTTGGTTGTGCCGTATAGATCAAAGTCGACACTCAAGAGAAGCGATGTAGTGTGGGAGAAATTTCCAACAGTGTTTCCTGAAACATCTGTAGACTGAGGTGGTGCAGGGATGAATGCATTCGTGGAGAGCAGGGAGTGAAGCTGGCACAGCTCACGGGTGAGCTCATTCCGACAAGGGTGCTGGCTCAGAGCAGGTGCTGAGTACATATTTGAAGAAATACTATCACTAGGATGGTCAAAACCACTTGGAAAACACTGGCATCTGGCAGCTACAACATCATTCAGAGGGTCTGCCAGGAGTTGTGGGGAGGCCCGGGATGGAATTATCACACTGGGTCAGAACCTGCCTTCTTGAGCCTTCCCCAAGTCTGAGGAACGTCCTAGGTCTGATCCAGCCTGGGTAACCCTTTCTCCTCTCCATCTCTCTGCACAGAGACTCTGACGTGGAACAAGCCCAGTCTCAGTGGGGTGGCTCCTCTTCCTCGCAGTCTCCATTCGGCAACCACCATAGGAAATAAGTGAGTGGCTATTCCCTCATCTTTGTCCTCTCTAGCCTGGCCCTGGCCCAGCCCCCACGGGGTTCTCTGTCAGTTTGTTATGACAGTCCTTAAGGCCTATGGACTCCTCTGCTGGGCTGGCTTTCAGCAGCCCCGTTTTTCTATTTTGACCCTGGGGGACCAGGAGAAGACAGTCAGGGTGGAGGGGGGCCACATGCAAGGCCAGCCCAAGATCCTTCCTGGGCCTGTGAGGTTCCACCCCATCAAGGGTGGAGACTGTTATAGATCTCTACACAAGCAACTGGGTGTCTTTGTGAGTGCGAAGGTCCTAAAGGGAATCTAGGAACGGTGGGAGACGAAGGTGAGCTTTAGATGAGCCAAATGGTGGTTTTTTTCGCAAGAGAGGTGACACAGTTCTTGTGAGGGCTGAGCCACCAGGTAGGAGAGGACAGCCTCAGAAGGCGTCAGTGCATCTGGGGGACTCTCCTAGGGGAGAGCTAGACGGCTAAGCTCTAGAACTGGGTAGGAGGGATGCCTCTAGGTCAGCACCTCCTCTACAGTCCTCTCCCACTCTTCCCTCCCTTCTCAGAATGTACGTGTTTGGTGGCTGGGTGCCTCTCGTCATGGATGATGTCAAAGTGGCCACACATGAGAAGGAGTGGAAGTGTACCAACACGCTGGCTTGTCTCAACCTGGGTATGGCCTCCTGGGGCTTGGAGTGGCCTGCGGGAGGCTGCAGGAGGCTGACCCTTCTCAGCCCTGAGAGCTGCGTGGGGTTTGCAGGGAGCAAAACTGGCCCGTGGCACCCTCTAGAATCTGCCAGAAGTATCCAGTGGGCAGAGCGCTCTGAAGTGATCCTCCCCTTTACGTTTTTGAATAGGTTCTTCATACACGTGCTCTGACAGCCAAACATCCAAAAGCATACGGTGCAGAGCCTCCCTCCCAGTTCTCACAGGCAACCACATGGGTGGTTTCTGTCCACCCTGCAGGGGCTCTTCTACATAGATGAGCATTAGCCATAGGTCCCTTTAAAAGCAAACAGCGACGGCAGCCTGCTGCACGTGGTGCTGTGCCTGACCTTTTTCAATGTGTCTTGGAGATCACTGCACTCCCTGCACAGCTAGCAGCT